TGGTGCCACTGTTGGCTCCTGGGCATCACCAGGACTCAAACCCCTGAAGCCACAACTTCCTTATGGAGGTTGTGTTCTGACCATCCCACCTCCCTGCCTGTGGGAGCTGGGATACTCTGGGCGGGATGCAGGATTGGCAGCAGGCAAGCGATCACCGTGTTCAAACTCCCTTATCCCTTATCTTCAGAGCGTTAGGAAAGCAAAAGGATTTCTCAGCTGCACTAGAGATGGGGAAGGTGCTGGTGGGTTGGTCATGTCGATACCCAGAGGTTTGCAGTGCTACAGGTGCAGACCCCAGGACGAGGACACTGCCCTTGCACCCCCCTGGCGCGGTGGCACCGGGGGACGTCACGCAGGAGCTGCCTGTTCCAGCCGTGGCCAGGGCAAGGGCGGCCAGGGCAGGGCTCGGAAGCCACTTTGTTGGTTTTTTTTTTTTAGGCTTGCATAAAAATAGAGGAAGGGAGGGACCAGCTGTGACTTTCAGAGGCTGTGTGGCCCCGGCACTGCCCTGAGTTCCGTATGAGCCGCCTGGTTTGTTGTGCTTCATCCTGTCTTGGGGAGTTGTTTCTGTCCTTCCTCCTGCCCCAGCCCTGCGTGATGGGCTGTGTTGCCTTCACTGGGAACACTGGGAGCCCCAGTGGTGTTTGTGACCATGGACCAGGAGGTGTCATGGTGAACAGGGAAAAACTCAGTGCTGTTAGATCCAGAGGGGACCCCACATCCAACCCCCTGGAGGTGGTGTATGGACTTGGGATGGGTTGGGATGGGAGGAAGGATTCCGGCACCCAAGCCCTGGGGTGAGTCACTCTCATGCCCCCACTGGTGAAGTCCCAGGGGCAGGCAGCTGCTCCAAGATGAGCACTTAGGCTTTGCCCAGGGGAAGCAGCAGGCTTATATGTATATATTTTACATACATTTTCACATGCGCATTAAAAATATATTTTCTATTTTAAAATATATATAAATTGCATTTTGTGTATATGTATACACACGTTACTCTTTTGTATGGAGCAATATATAAGTTGATTTATATATATCAAAAAGTGTATATATATATATTGCTTTGCCTATATATATATAGCTTTATGGAAGATCTCCCATGGTCTGAGCCCACCCAGGCCTGTGGGTGCCGGTGAGTGCTGGGATCACGGTGTCCCCAAGCACTGTTTATAGCCAGGGCTGGCCTGGCCTTTCCACAGCCACCGGGTTTCCTGCTCCAAGCCCCGAGTGCGGGTTTCCGGGCTGGAGACTGGTTGAATCACCAGAGCTGGGGGAGCTGAGTAATCCTCCATCCCATTGGTGGAAAACTCAGGCAGGGGGATTTGGGTGCCAGCGGGTGAGCCCCCATCCCGTCAGGGCAGCGTGGAGGGGATGGCATGGCTGGCACCCAGGCCTGGGGGCACTCAGTGGAGGGGGAGAGGGACCACTCTGGCTGTGGCAGAATCAAAAACTGAGCAGCAAAGTTCCGGGATTCCTGGAAAAAGCCCGGCACAAGGGTAGTTTTGTCCAGCTTGTGAACACCGGCAGGCCTTGTTGGCATTTTCCGTACTCCCCCTGGGAAACCATACCCAGCCCACCTCTTCCCTGCATGCTCCGAGTATCCTTCCTGCTGCCAGTTTATTTCTATTTTATTTACTTTTGTTGGGGGTTTTTTCTGCATCTCCATCGGCTGCCTTGGACAGGGGGGTCTGTGCCTCCCTGGTGCCCCCCAGTTTTTTGAGGTCCTGCCTGGGGACGTGGCATCCACCAGCTGTTGATGCACAGGCTCCTTCTGGGAAGCAGCCAGCCCTGTGCTGGAATGGGACGGCCCTTGGGAAAAACGCCCTATGTCACCGTGGGGTTTTAAAAAAATGTGATTATTTTTACAGCAATTTTCCATCTATTTTGGGTAGGAAGGAAAATGTTGAGGGGAATCTCTTTTTATTGTTAGTTTTTGAGTCTTTAGGGTAACTCTGCTTCTAAGACACCCCTTTGACAGTCCCATTTGATGATGGGGACCCCACAGGTGCTGAGGGGGGTCCACAGCCATCCCTCTGTTCAGCCATCTGTCTGTCCTGCAGGGAAAGGGATTGGTGTGTTTGTCCAGAACTAAAACCCATCAGTAAATCCATGCTCAAATAATAGCTACTGTTTGCCAGGCTGGGAAAACTTGCCGGGACAGTGTCTGGGGATGGGGCTCCAGCTGCTGGGGATGGAGATGGCTCTGGACCCACTGGTGGATTGAATTCCAGCTTTTCCCCCGTAATAAGGCAAATTTTCCAGCTGTGCATCGCTTCCATCCATGCCTGGATATTTGAAGGCATAGAACGTGATGGTGCCGTGTGGAAAAATGGAAAATCCGCTCTTGGTGATGCGGGATGAGGTGGATCCTGAAACCTGTGGCCAGCTCCTAAAATATAGGGATTACATATGTGCTGCCCAGAACTATGTGCGTATATTGCATTAAATATCTACTGCCCAGAAAGTGTCGTAAATCGTGGGCTGCAAAATATATATGTTGGCTCAATAAACTTTTTGCCAGTCGATCAGCAGGGTGTTCTGGAGCTGGGCAGCTGCTTGCTTATTTTAAGTTTTGAAGATTATTTTTAACAAAAAAAGGAGGAAATGAGCTCTAGAGAGAGCTCTCCTCCTGTTTTGCCAGGCACTGCCCTGGGAACTGCCTGCTCCTGGCGGAGAGGCAGGGCTGGAGGAAGCACAGCTGTGGGGTCAGCCCATGGTGGTGGGGGGGGTCTCTCTGTCCCCCTGATGCTCCCGGGGGGTCTGGAGGAGGCAAAGCCCCTCTGACAGCGCCTCGTCCTGCCTGGGCTGTGCTTGAGGGTGGAAGCTGGCCGTTGGCTTCCAGCCCAGGAATTGTTTTGGGGCTGAATGGGCGGCAGCTGGGGTTTTCCGGGGATTGGAAACCCTTCCCCTCTGCCGCCCTCACCGGGGGGGGCTGGAGAGGGTTCCCCACACAGGAGGGAGGGTATTAATTAAGACCCAAATTCCTGCTCAATACAAGTGCACAGGCTCTTGTGCTAGGTGAGCTCTTGGTGGCAGGCAGAGGTGCTGACTTGAAACAGGGGAAAACAGCATGGCCACCTTCCTCATGGAGCAGGGAAGAAGTCAGGAGACGCTGGGGAAGTTTGCAAGGAAATGGTCAGCCTTGGTGATGGTCACCCTGTGACTGTCACTCCTGCAGGCAGGAGGTCCCAGGGGGATTGTTCCCTCCTGGCAGGGAGCAAATGTCAGGATAAGGCAGAGCAGGAGAATGGGAAACAGCTGTCTGGCACCTCACCCCAGGGATGCTGATAAGCAGGGTCCTTGCTTGCCACGTGCCTCAGTTTCCCTGTCCAGGCACCCATCAGGGAAGGGCCGGGTGAGTGCAACAGGCTCTAACTGCCTGACCCAGCGGTACACGGTGGTGTTGTCAGAAACCAGAGGTATTTAATGGAAAAAATGAAGGGATATGCTGAGTCCTTCCCCCCTGCTCCCAGTTCCGGGCAGGAGTTGCCAGCACTGACCACGAGCGCTGGCTGGACTGCGCTGGGTGCCGCGTCAGCATCCTGAGGGCGCCAGAGGAGAATCGGTCGGCAGTGCTGGAGAGCCCCTGCAGTGCCGAGTGGTGACCTCTGAGCTGAGCAGAGCCTCTCCCTCGACACATATGGCACGGGAACCACGGAGCAGGGTGCTCACGGCAATGAATACAGAATCTGCATAGCCTCAGTGTGGCCCCAGCATCGGGGTGCTCCGTACCCTGAGCAGTGCTGCCATGGTGTCCCTGGGGGTACATGCCCATCACCTGGGTGGCGTTCAGGCTGGGGTCATGTGCAGAAGGAGTTTGCTCCCTGCGCCATGTCTCAGCTGGCATGACGGGCCCTGTTCTTGCCAGTTAATTTTAGCATAATCTCCTTTTTTTTTTTCTAATTTTTTTTTTAACCTCCTTGTAATCTCTCTGCCCCCTCTGCGGCTGTGCTGGCGCAGCCCTTGGGGCCCCCCGTAAGGGCAGCTCCATGGCCGAGGGCAGTGTTGGGAAGACAGGAATGGACTGAAAATGGACAGGAAGAGGACACAGGAATGGACTTGGCTTGGGGAGATCCCCTGGGACCTGCACCCAGAGGCGAGGACCACGCTGGTCCCCAGCCAAAGAGGCTGGTGAGGGTCCCGGGGCCAGACGAGCCAGGCACTCATCATCCTCGTGGGGACAAGGGACATGCACCGCCCCTTTCAGCTTCCCCTTTCAGCTTCCCCTTTCTTGCAGCCGGGGTGACTTTGCTCCTTCCCTGCTTGCAGCCTGGGGAGGGAGGGCTGGGCCAAGCTGCACGTTGCCTGCGTAGGGATGGCATCCCTAAGGGGGACAGGGTGGAGGAGGGGGGACCTTGGGCACCCTGGCTGTCCCTCTGAACTTCTGGAACCCTGTGTTTGGATGCTGAAAAACAAAATGACCCCAAAAGCCGTTGGCTTTCCTGGCTAGCAGCTGCCTCTGCAGTGAGCTGGGGCACAGGACCTGGCAGGTTGGGAAGTGTGTGCTATTTAAGAACCAACCTGGGGGCGGCTGGTCCCGCTGGGATCGCTCGAGCTGGCTGGTGGAGGTGGCAGCTTCTTCCCGAGTTCCCTGCCCGTACCTGGTGACATGAACATCCCTGCATCCTGGCCTCTGCCAGCTCCAGCCATGGGCACGCAGTGAGCACACCCCAAAGCTGGGGTATCCAGTTGGCTGTGGTGTGCCGGGATCATGGGCAAATGTTAGTGTGTTGATGCCATTTTCCTGGCCCAGAGCAGGTGTCATTTCTCCCCTCAGGAACTATTGCAAGGTCCCCCACAGGCTCCCCTTTTCCTCCCTCTTTCTTGGTCCTGATATTCCCAGTGCCCACCCAAACATCCGCTCTCACCAATGCTGGGAGCTCTTCTCCAATGGCTGAGGCACCTGCCGTGTTCCCTCCCTGGGCTGGAGGGGTGCCCCAGTTGGGTGGGGGTCCCTGGCTTTGAGCAGGATCTCATCTTCCCTTCTCATTTCTCTGCAGGTGCCGGCGAGTCTGGGAAGAGCACCATTGTCAAACAGATGAAGTGAGTGGTCCCTGCACTGCCTCTGTGGCCAACACCACTCAGACCTCATACCTTTCCCCTCGATTGGGGAAGGCTCCCCATCAGTGTTGCCACAGAGCATGGGTGGGAGCAGCACCCTGGAGTGCCCCCCAAAGGGCTGACCTTGTCTGTGTCTCTCCCCTGCCCCAGGATCATCCATGAGGATGGCTACTCAGAGGAGGAGTGCCGGCAGTACAAAGCTGTGGTCTACAGCAACACCATCCAGTCCATCATGGCCATCATCAAGGCCATGGGGAACCTGCAGATTGACTTTGGAGACTCCTCCAGAGCGGTGGGTGCCCTCCTGCTCTCACCACACCTGGCAGGGATGGGGGTTCTTGGGGGCTAAAGCAGATGTACCCAAAGCTGGACCAGGATTAAGGGTGGCCCTGCCCAAGCCCTGCTGTTCCCTGGATGACTGTGTCCTCCTGTCTCTGGCACTGAGGATGGGGGGACCCAAAGCATAACACCTGGGTGGCTGCACTGGCACAGCCCCTGATGGGTTCAGGGGTGGGGGTCCTGCTACTTCCCTTGGGTCTCATCCCCATCCACCACTGGAGCTTCCACCATGCTGTCTGTGTGGGATCCGTTGGGCTCCAGTCAGGTCCTCTGGGGCAGAGTGAACTTTGCTAACCCAGTGCCAGTGCTCAAGCTCTGTTTTTTCCCTGCAGGATGATGCTCGGCAGCTGTTTGCGCTCTCCTGCACCGCTGAGGAGCAGGGCATCATGCCGGAGGACCTGGCCAATGTCATCCGGAGGCTGTGGGCTGACAATGGGGTCCAGGCCTGTTTCAACCGCTCCCGAGAGTACCAGCTGAACGACTCTGCTGCCTAGTGAGTACCCCTGCTCCTCTGCCCCAGCTTGGCTGATCTGGGCCCTGTGGACTGCGGCGCTTTTATCGAGCAGCAGAAAATCCCTCTGGGGGCCTCTGTTCTCCATTACCAGGCTTGGGGCTGGTGCTGCCACTTCCCACGCGATGCTGGGGCTGAGCTGGAGCAGAACTGGGAAGGCGGATGTTTCGAAAGCTGTTTCCTCCTCTAGTGGGGTGCTGTGTCCCCTGGGAGGGGGGGCACCGGGGCATCTCCCTCCTTCCACTGCTCGGTGCCCACTGCCCTTCCCTGGGGGATGCTCCTCAGTGGCTCCCCCATATGAACACAGCTGGGGTCCTGCCCACCCTCATCGCCCTTCATGGGCCGTGAAGGCAAGAAAAAAACCCAAGGAAAGCACTGGGGACACTTAGACCTGAAGAGGATGAGTAGAATGTTCAAGAGGCTTTTCTTTTTAACTGATTTTATATGGAAAGACTCGGCTTTAAGCTGGCACATTATCCAGCAAACCAGTGTTTAGGTAGATAAATTGATGCATCTGGTTGGGTTTATCCTTGAAGAGATTAATAAATAAGTTAATCTGCCTAATGTACCGTTTCTGGAGAGGGCAACACAGATAAATCTGTGTTCAGCTTGCACAGTGCCCTCATGGTAAAGTGTGGCAGGGGAGCTCATGGTGTGCCAGGAACACCCTGCCAAGCCTGGCTCCACCAGCACTCTTGGGACTCACTGCCAGCCCAGAGCTGTCCAACCCCCAACTGTCCCCTCCTGCGTGGCACTGCTGGGTCCCCCTTCTGCCCTGAGGTAGTTGTGGGGAAGAGGTTGCAGGAAAGCTCCTGGCAAGTGCCAACCCTGGAGAAGCTCCTGGCGACGCTTTCCCCCAACACCCGTGGGTTTCACTTCCTCCTGACCGGCACACACCCGCCCTCCCTGGCTCCTGTCTGCTCAGCTCCATCACTGAGGCATTTCCCCAGCAGTGGGTGCAGGTTTGGGGGCAGGGGACACCTGGCAGGTACCTGGCAGCTCACACACAGAGTTGGAGCAACTGTATTTGCACAGTGTCTACGAATTGTGTATTGCTGTTAGAGCTGTTATGGAGCATGGTGGGGGCTGGACAACCATTAATTAGGAGTGCCCTCAAGCTGTTGCTCCAGCCCCTTTCCAGCCCTGTGGAGATGCCAGTGCAGTGGTTGATGCTCTGCCCATCCCGTGGGAATGATGTTGTGCTCACTGTGCTGCTGGCAGAGGGCAGCCCAGGAATGAGGAGTCCCGTGCCGTGCCTGGCACGCAGCCCACCTGTGCCCCAGCCCTCTGCAGCAGCTGCAGCCTCCTCCTCCACAGTGCCTTAGGATTCCAGGAGCTTGGGGTGCCAGGGTGGCGCTCACCAGCACCCCGGGGCTTGGCGCAAGGTCCGAGAGCCGCTGGCGCAGCGCAGGGCCCTGCCGCGGTGTTTCCTGTTTTTTTGTCAGCCGGAGGCTGTCTGTGTTTCCGGCTGTTTTTGAGCTGCTCCACAGCGGCGACGTGCCGGCCCCCCGCCCTCACACGCACAGCAGGGTCCTGGTGCACCTCCGGCCCGGCCTTACCCCGGCACGCTGCAGGGTTTCCCAGGAGCTGGCGAGCGGCCGTGCTGCCGCCAGAGCCAAGGATCCCTATGGCCTTGCGGGCTGTAATCTGGCTTTCACCAGATTATGACTCTGCAAATGCCTTAATTAAGACAAGCCTAATTTGCTTAAAGGAGCCCGTTTGCAGTAACCCAATTAAAGCAATGTGAGCTGGAAAAATCAAAACCCGCCTTGATCCCCCCCGGCAGTTCTTGGCTGTCACGGTCATGGTGGGTGCTGTGCCTTGGGGATCCGGCCACCGCCGCTGCTGGGAGCCTGTGTGGGCAGCAGGGCAGGCGATGGCCGGGGATGGCCACAGTCCCCCGCTGTGCTGCTCCCTGTCCCTCCGGCCGCCCGCCTCCCGCTTCCTCCCAGGACGCCGTCCCTTTGTGTTTTTGACTATAAATGGCACGGCGCCATCGATTGTTTCCGCCGGTGCTGTGGCTGGTTGCCATAGCGCTGAATATTTTCCCCTTGCCATTTCCCCCCTGTGCAAACGGCCAGGGGAACAGGGAGAGCCCCCCTGCTCCGGCTGCATCCTCAGCCTGGCTCCCAGCACCAGCACACTGCCCCCCAATCCCTCGGTCCTGTGTGTCCTGTGCCACCCCTGGTGTCCTGCCCTGCCTGTGTCTGGCAGGGACATGGGGTGACCCCAGGGTGCAGATGGGGCCCCCACTGTGCTGCCCAGCTCGGCACTGCCCACCCTGAATGGACGATGCTGGGAGATGGCCAGGGGATGTCTGGGATGGTGTGGGGATTTGCTGGGTTGTGCCCCACGGTCCAGCTCCCACAGCACCTTTCCTCTTACTCCCCAGCTACCTGAATGACCTGGAGAGGATAGCCCGTGCCGACTACATCCCCACCCAGCAGGATGTGCTGCGCACCAGGGTGAAGACCACTGGCATCGTAGAGACCCACTTCACCTTCAAGGACCTGCACTTCAAGTATGTCCGACCCTTTCCCTTTTGCCTTTCCCACAGCAAAACAAAACCCCTTCCTCCCCATGCCGGGATGGATCCTGATTGCATGCTGCATACACCGAGTTCCCCTGCCCCGGGTTTGCTCATGGTGGGAACTGCTGCCTCAGAGAGAGCGGAAACCGCTGAAAGAGCTGGAACAGCCTCAAAAACGCGTCGCAGGGCTCAGCCCAGGGGCGGATCCAGGCTCTGGCACGGAGGGGAAGAGGGAAGGCATCCATCCTCCGGGTGCGGTGACGCTGCTTCCGTTGTGGGAAGGGCACTGGGGAGGAGCTGGGGTCTTGGGGTCAGGCACTGGCACTGCTGTCTGCTGGCACCCCGCGGTTGCTTTCCACTGAAACCCACGGGAAATAGTCAGGGCTCCAGTTTCTGAGGCAAAAAGCTGGCATTGTGCACATCCCAGGGGGTTTAGTCCCATGGCAACAGAGCTGATATCAGAAGGATCTGCTGGGGTCCTCTCTGAATGCAGGAGACTCTCAGGGACCCCTGTGCCACCCTGGTGGGATGAAGGTGCTTGGTCACACATCACCAGGGCAGTGGCAGTGGCTTTGGAGGTGGCAGTGGTGGGGGTCCTGGGGGGGGTGGGATGCGGCATGTCCTGGTGGGAAAGCCTTCCTGCCAGCCCGGGTGAACGTGGCCGTGGTGCTGCTGCTGTGCTCTTCCCTGTGGAGGCAGGGCATCCTCTGCTGCCTGTGGCAGGAGAGGCACACAGTGCACTGGGATCATCCTTGAGCCCTTGTGCTCCTGCAGTCCTGCTGAGCCTGCAGCCACTTGACTTCCCTTGGTCCAAGGTCTCTGGCAAAGCCCAGCAGTGCCCACTCTGGAACAGCTCCCTGGGAAGCATCACACTGACACCTCCTGGGAAAGGTGGCCTGATCCTGCCCTGGCTCACATCAGGAATCTGCTCCAGTTGGGAAAAGAGCCTGGACACTGCCCTGTCCCTGAGATAGGCAGCAGGTGCCAGGGCAGATCTTCGGCACTGACAAAACCCTTGGGCAGGGGCACTGTGCTGTGCCCATGCCTGTGCTGCTCCTGTTCTGGGCAGCTGGGGACACTGAGTCAGGGCGTGGGGCAAGGGCTGTGGGGTCAGGAGCTGCTGCCCATCCCCACATCACCTCTCTGCTGCAGGATGTTTGACGTGGGTGGCCAGCGCTCGGAGCGGAAGAAGTGGATCCACTGCTTCGAGGGGGTGACTGCTATCATTTTCTGTGTGGCCCTGAGCGCCTATGACCTGGTCCTGGCTGAAGATGAGGAGATGGTGAGTCACAGAGATGGAACCAGCGCTGTGAGCCATCCCCTCCTTGGGGGACTGGGGGAAGACCCCCTCCTCTGCGGGCTGCCAGTGTGGTCCAAGCCTTGCAGGCCCATTGGCATCCCCTGCCTGGGCAGGCAGGAACATGGGAGGTGGCAGGGTGGGGAGCAGTGGAGTAGGTGCTGCTTGGGGTTCCCTGTCCAGCTCACACTGCCATCTCCCCTGCTAGAACCGGATGCACGAGAGCATGAAGCTGTTTGACAGCATCTGCAATAACAAGTGGTTCACAGACACATCCATCATCCTTTTCCTCAACAAGAAGGACCTCTTTGAGGAGAAGATCGTGCACAGCTCCCTCACCATCTGCTTCCCCGAGTACACAGGTACCACTGGGACCCACAGTACCCCCTTCTTCTCCTTGCAGGGGTATTGGGCTGAGTAATAGGAGGTGTTGGGGATGGAGATGGCTCTCCTGTTGAGGAGCAGTGTGTTGGGGCAGCAAGTGCCCTGTGGTGGTGTTTGGAGTGTCCCAGGGGATGGGGGAAGATGTGGGAGGACACAACATGAGGGGCAGCAGCCCTAGGGCATTAGCTGAGGCTCACTCTGCCTTTGGACCGTCAGTTTGGCATTGGGGCAGTGGCTGTGGCAGCACAGGGAGCCAAGCCAGGCCTAAAGCCCTTTGGTGCCAGTGGCAGTGGGTGCCGGTGGCCGTGGGCGACTGTGGGGCAGCCCAGTGTCTCCTCCTCCTCAGGGGCCAACAAGTATGACGAGGCAGCCAGCTACATCCAGAGCAAGTTTGAGGACCTGAACAAGCGGAAGGACACCAAGGAGATCTACACCCACTTCACCTGCGCCACCGACACCAAGAACGTGCAGTTCGTCTTTGACGCCGTCACCGACGTCATCATCAAAAACAACCTGAAGGACTGTGGGCTCTTCTGAGTGTGGCGCTGCCCAGGTGGGTGATGATCCCAGTGGTGGCCCCCCCCAAAATGGGGTGGTCATGAAGCATCCTCTGGGGATGGGCTGGGCACTGCCTGCCAACTGCAGGCTGCCCCCTCTCCCCAGACCCTCCCCTGCTCACCCCTATTCTCTCCTAGGACCCCCAAAGGAAGGACCACGCCACCCCCCACTCCTGCTTCTCTTTGGATTCATCCCTCCGTCCCCACCCCATAAAGAGACTTTTTGGGTGCCAGCACAGTGGCAGGGCTCATGTCCCTCCTGCCACCCGCGCTTGCCCCCCACCATTGTCCTCCTCCTCCTCCTCGCCGGCGTCGCCCTTCCCAGGGAAGACAAGGTTTTAATCTTGGTTTGTAACCCCTGAACCGCTCCAGCCCCCACTTCATTCACTCCGAGCCCTGGTGCTCTTCTCACTGTTTACATTGCAAGTGTTGCTGGCATGGGGGGCACAGGGTCCCCTCGGGGATGCCCACCTGGCCACAAACACGACCGATGACATTCCTTTTAGTAAACCAGAAAAGAAAGAAGAAGAAGAAAAAAAAAAAAGGAAAAGAAAAAACAACCCAAACCCAAAACCATGCAAAAAAAACCACACCACACCGGTTGGGGCCAGGTTGCTTTTTAAAGAAACCTTTTTACCAAACTATTTAAAAGCATCAAGTGCTACGTGGTGGCGGCGTCCTCCGTGGCCAGCCCACCCCCCAACCGTGTGCCTTGGGGGGGAGGGTCTGCACCCCACCCCGCCTCGCTGCCCCCATCCCAACGGGCAGCCTGGGCAGGAGGGTGGGCAGGGGGTGCTGCCCGCTGCCTCTATCCCCCCCCCCTCTTTCTAAGCCTAGTTTTTAGGTCTAGCCGTTGCGTTGGGCGAGGAGAGCCCGCTGTACAGAGCGGCCCCCGCTGTCCCCCCCCAGCCCAGGGGGGACCCTTCAGCCGGTGCCTGCGGCCTCGCTTTTCCCACAGGATGTTTTTCCGAATTGTTCACACGGTTTGAAATAATAAAATGTAGAAAGGAAAAAAAAAAAAAGAAAAAGACGCACTGAAACTGCCTTTGTGACACGGGGGTGGGCAGGGGGGCTTCACCTCTGTGGGTGGGTTGGGGGGGGCCCTGGGGTGGGAGAGGGACACAAGGTGGGCTGGTATCCCACCAGGATCAGCAGAAGCCCCTGGGTAAGGGAGGTGGGAGCAGGCATGGGGCCCTCGGGGATGGAGCTGGGATGCTGCTTTGGGGCTGAGCCCCACCCCAAGGGGGCTGCAGGGTGGGGACGGACACATGACCACCCCCTGGCTCTACAGCTAGGGGATGGTGGCACCCAGGAGGCCCTGGTATCACACAGTCCTTCGGGACACCCATTGCCCTGGAGAACCCTGTGACCTGCAGCCCAGAGGGAGATGTAGCATCCCTTGCACCCAGCAGCCTGTAAGGACCCCCAGATCCAGGGAGCACCCATGGGCACCCCACGCAAGGGAATTCCACCTCCAAGGGATTCCTGGAGACCTCCAGCATCCCCCAGCTCTGCGGTGCACTCATGGACACCCAGAAGCACCCAAGGGACCACCCCCCAGCAACCCCCAGCTCCAAAGGGTACCTAGGACACCCCAGCACTCAAGGGAACCCCTAGCACCCCTCAGCTCCAAAGGGGTACCAGGGATTCCCAGCACCAAGGGGCACCCAAAGTCCCCCAGTCTCCCCAGTGCCAAGGGTCATCTGGAGACCCCCAGCACCCCTCAGCTCCAAAGGGAACCCAGGGACCCACAGCACCCAAGAGTCTCCAGCACCGTGTAGCACCCAGGGTCACCCAGGGACCCCCAGTGGCACTGGGTGCCCCACAGTGCTGGCTGGTGGGGGGACTGGTGGGGAGGGGGAGTGAGTTTGTGGCCCCAGCCCAAGAGTGTCTCTGGGGTCACATCCTGAGGCAAATAGAGATGGTTGTGGAGGTGGGGTGGGGGTGGCAACACTGCTGGGTCCCAGAGGAGGGGGAGACTGGACTGGGGAGGGGGCACTGGTCTGGGGCTCAGAAGAGCCCACAGTCCTTGAGGTTCTCCTTGATGATGATGTCAGTGACGGCGTCGAAGACAAACTTGACATTCTCGGTATCGGTGGCGCAGGTCATGTGGGAGTAGATCTCCTTCACATCCCGCCGCATGTTCAGCTCCAGGAACTGCACCTTGATGTAGTTGCCCGCATCGTCGTAGGTGTTGGGACCTGGTGGCATGGCAGTGAGTGGGGTCCCCTCCTGGGCTGGTGTCCCCCTAAGGGTGCTGGCCCAGCGTCACCCAACACTCCCTCGGGTGGGCAAGCCTTGTGCGGTCCCTCAGCAAGGCTCGAGCAGCATCACTTACATGGGGTACTGAGGACACCTGGTGGGGGACTGCGGCGGGGTGGTGGCACACAACCCTCCACCAGCACCACACCACCACCACCAGCAGCTGCTGCCACACTCACCATCGTAGTCGGGGAAGCAGATGCTGAGATGGGCCTTCTTGATCTTCTCCAGGAAGACATCCTTCTTGTTGAGGAAGAGGACGATGGAGGTGGTGGCGAAGTAGCGGTGGTTGCAGATGCTGTTGAAGAGGTGCAGGCTCTCGTGCATGCGGTTCTGTGGAGGGACACAGCCCCGTGGTGACCCCCCATGTCATGATGGGGACACAGGAGAGGGGGTGTGATGTGGTAAGCTTTCCTCACCACTTCGTCATCCTCCACCAGGACCATGTCGTAGGCGCTGAGGGCCGCGATGAAGATGATGCAGGTCACCCCCTCGAAGCAGTGGATCCACTTCTTCCGCTCTGAGCGCTGTCCACCCACATCGAACATCCTGGGCAGGACAAGGAAGAGTCAGTGGCCCCCATGCCCCTGTCCACCCCTGGCACCTGCCTTCATTGGAAGCCTGGCCCCCACCTGAAGTTGAGGTCTTTGAAGGAGAACTGGGTCTCGATGATGCCGGTTGTCTTGACCCGGGAACGCAGCACGTCCTGCTCTGTGGGGACGTAGCCGGGGGTCACCAGGCGCTCCAGGTCTGACAGATAGCTGGCCGGGCACGTGGTGGGCATGAGACACAGGTTGGCACCCCCTGCCTGACCCCTCCCCCTGCCCACACCCCCACCCCACATACTAGCCCGCAGAGTCATTGAGCTGGTACTCGGAGGCACGGTCAAAGCAGGCTTGGATGCCCGAGTCCTTCCAGAGCCGCCCGATGATTTCCGACATCTCCTTGGGCATGGTGCCCTCCTCAATGGTGTCTGAGAGGTGCAGCAGCTTGCGGGCATCATCCTACGAGGGAGAGGGGTTCAGTGGGGCCAAGGGGCTGCAGGGACCCTCTGCCAACATGGGATGCTCCTCACCTGGCGAGCTGTGTCCCCGTACTGAATGCTGAGGGTGGTCATGGCCCTCACGATGGCCAGCATGGACTGGAGTGTGTTGCTGTAGATGATGGCAATGAACTCCAGGCATTCCTCCAGTGAGTAACCATCCTGGTGGATGATCCTGGCCAGAGAGGGAGGCATGGGGCTGAGCTGGGTGCAATGGGGCTGAGCCACACACTAAGGGGTGGGCACACCCCATGGCTGTGGCATGGGGCAGAGCCAGCCATGGTGGGACAGGGGCATCCCGTGGCTGTGTCATGGGACAGGCACATGGCACTGTGCGGCATGGCCGAGTGACCCCTCCTTGGCACTTACTTCATTTGCTTGACAATGGTGCTCTTTCCCGACTCTCCTGCTCCTGAAGGGACAGAACACGGGTCATGGCAGTGCCCATGCCATGGGCGCCCCAAGCTGTGCCTCACACTGCCCCACTGGGACCCCTGGAGTCTGACATGGTTTGGGGCCCTGTTGACTGTGCCAGGTCCATGGCTCAGGGTGTGCAGAGGGATTACAGCCCGGTGCCAGTGGCATTAAGACTGGGTTGAGCTGCTGTAGCTAATGGGATCTGCAGCAGCTCAGCTGGGAATGCACTCGGGGACCCAAGGGAGGGGTTGGGGACATGGTGGCATGGCAACCCTGCCACCCACCACTCAATGCCCCAAGCCTGTTGGCAGGGCAGAGGGACATGTCCTGGGCCAGGCCATGATTGCAGCCATGGCCTCACCAAATACAAGGCATCCCAATCCTCAGGCACCACCAGGAGGGACTGGGAAGGATCTGCAGTACAAGGGGGCTGCATGGGGATCCTTAGGAGGAGGGGGGGGGCGGAGGGGGGGGGGTGCTGTTAGGTGCCTCTGGTGAAGGCTCTTGAGATGGACTGGTTGGGGTTGGGGGGCCTGGGAGTGGGGGGATTTTGGGGTAGCTGGTTGGGTTTAGGGGTGTTGACAGGGAGAGGAAAACACTGTGTGGGGTTTTGGGGCTGGCTGGTTGCGTTTAGGGGTGCTGAGGGTGAGGGAAACGGGAGATTGTTGGCAAGGGCTGGTTGGGTCTAGGGGTGCTGAGGGTGTGAGGGAAACGTGAGGTGGGCTGTTGGGGTGTGCTGGTTGCTTTTAGGGGTGCCAAGCAAGTCAGGGGACTGTTAGGGTGGGCTGGATGGGTTTAGGGTGCTTAGGAGCGGGGGCTGTTGTGTGGACTGTTGGACTGGTTGGGTTTAGCAGGCAGTCAGGGAAACTTTGGTTGGGTTATAGGGGAGGGGTTGGTTGGTTTTAGGTATGTCTGGGAGTGGGAGGTTGTTGGGGGCACTCTTGGGCTGTGCTGGTCTGGTTTAGGGATGCTGGAGGCATCAGGGAAACATTGGGTGGGCTGTTGAGATGGGGAGGTTGGGTTTAGGGCTGGCTGGAAATGGGAGTGCTGTTGGAGTGGGCTGCTTGTTTTTAGGAGTGCTGGGGAAGTCAGGGGAATGTTAAGTGAGCTGTGAGGGTGGGTTGCTTGGTTTTAGGGGATCCATCTGGGGGCCAGGAGAACGTTGGGTGGGCTGGTTGGGTTTGGGGGGGCTGTGGGGTGTGCTGGTTGGGTTGAGGGGTGTTGGTAGGTGCCAGAGGAACCTTGGGTGGTCTGTTAGGGTGGGATGCACAAAGGATAGGTATGTCCCCCAGGGTGTCATCTCCCCCTTACCCAGCAGCAGAAGCTTGACAGTCCTGGCATCCTTCTCAGCGTCTTCCTTGAGCTTCTTCTCCAGCTCCCGGGAATGCTTCTCCTCAGCACTGGCCCCGGCGCCCATCCTCGGCCCCGCGGCCCTGCGGCTCACCACCCGCTCCTTGGAGGTCAGTACCAGGATGGGCAACGAGCTCCAGCCCCCCGCCACCTCCAGCGCTCTCTCCCTGTGCCCGCTGCCGCCGCCGCTGCCCACCCGATGTGGGACAAGGACGGGGCCGCCTGCGGGGGGGTCGCCTACGGGGGGCTGCGCTCAGCACCCAGGGCTTAAGCCAGGCCCCCCCGATAAACCCCCTTCAATCTGCAGCAGGCTGAGCTCAGCAATCCTGTAGCTCCCGGTGTCAGCGCTTCTGCCGGGGGGGGGCCCAGACCAACCAGCCCCCTGCTTTGCCCCTGCCCTGCGGCTGGGGCAGTGACCTGGCCACCCTGGGGGATGTGGGACCCCTACTCAGCTGCAGCTCTGCTGTGGACCTCAGGAGTTTGGAATTGGGGGAATGAGAGTGTGTGTCTGCTGGGGTCTGGTCACAGCGTGTGGAAATGTCTCCATTGTCCCCATCTCACCTGGTCATACCCCCTGCTCTGGACCAGTGCCCAGAGCCCCGCCCCAGCAAGCCATCTCAGTGTCCCCGGGCCTCTGTGCCCGGTGACTCCAGGGATACTCTCCCTAGTGATCGAATGGCAAACCCAGTCACCCCACCCTGTGTCCCCAGGGCCCTTCCAGGACCCTTCACCAATGTGCCCATGACACTGGGTGCCCTCCTTAGTGTCCCCAGCCACCCACCAGCACACTCCCAGTGCCACCAGGCTAACTCAGTATCAACTCCACAGTGTCCCCAGGCCCTCCAGCAACACCTACACGAGTGTCCTCAGGGATGCCCGTGTACCCTCCCCAGGGTCTCCAAGGCCCTCTCCAGTAACACCTCCCAGTAACCCAAGAAGAAATCCCAGTGTCCCCAAACAATTCCAGTTCCCTGTGTGGTGACCACCCAAAAAAAGAACTCTGCCCAACGTCCACGGGCGCCTCAGTGCCACACCTATGATACCCCATAGTGAGTCCCCACAATGCCCTTAGGCTCTTCAGTGTCCCTTCCCAGTGCCCACCTCCTGTGTCCTCAGTGCCTCCCATTGCCATCGTGGCCACCACAGTAATATTGTGTCCCCAGAAACACCTCAGTAATTCCCCAGTGTCCCCTCACCTCCGGTGACCCCAGGTCCTGCCAGGATTCCCCCAGTGACCCCAGTACAGCCCAGTGTCCCCGTGTCCCCCAAGCTGTTCCCGGCGCTTCCCCGTTCCCAAAGCGCGGGGTTCCTGCAGTGCCGCGCTCGGCTGCCAGAGGGCGGAAGCTCCCAGCGCAGCTCCCAGTGCAGCCCAGCGCCCCCAGTAGAGCCCTGCACCACCCCCAGTACAGCCCTACAGCACCGCCAGTACAGCCCAGTGCCCCAGTACAGCCCTGCACCACCCCCAGTACAGCCCTGCAGCACCGCCAGTACAGCCCAGGGCTTCAGTACAGCCCAGTGCCCCAGTACAGCCCTGCACCCGGTCACTGTGCCCAGTGCAGCCCCCAGCATAGCCCCAGCCCGCTCCAGTACTCACACCAAGGCTGCCCAGAGGAGCCCAGTACTGCCTCCATTGCCCCAATACTGAACAGTGCCCTACTATGGCCCAGTATCACTCACTACAGCCCCCAGTGACCCCTATACAGCCCACTACCACTGCCCAAACAGTGCTCACAGAACCACCAAGTACCAGCTCCCAGTGCCAAATCCTAATGCCCCCGTATTTCTCCTGGTGCTCCCATTACTGATTCTGAGTGCCCCTAGTGCTTCCAGTATCAACTTCCAGTGTCCACATTACTATCCTCAGTACAGCCCAGGACCCTCCAGCACTGACCCCAGTGGCTCCTGGCACAGCTCAGAGGAGCCTGGTACCACCCCATTTGCCTGTCCATACCGATCAAAGTGCTCCCACTACAGTCCAGTATCACCAACTACCACCCCCACAATCCTGCAGTCTCCATCCTGCCCCATGGCCCCATGACCACCAAGTACCAGCTCCCATTACCAAATCCTGAGGCTCCAGTACTTTCCCCAGTGCCCCCAGTACTAACTCTGAGTGCTCCCAGTGCCTTCAGCAAGACTCAGTACTGGTGTCAGCCCGGCCCAGTGTACCCCAACACCCAGAAGCACCACCCAGTACTGCCACCTCTCAGTGACCCCTGTGCTGCCCCCCCGGCACTCAGTGCCCCAGTGGTCCCCCAGGGAGCTGCAGCCCAGCCCTCTGCACCCCAGCAGGGCTCAGGGGATTACGTGGCGGGGGCCAGGCCCGTCCCCGACAGAGCACACGCAGGCGCCCACGTCTGTCCCAAAGCCAGTGTTTATTTGGGGGTGCCCCCAGCTGCAGCACAGGGCACTTACTCAGCCCTGGCTGCCCCTGTGCTTCCCACGTACAACTATTTACAACTCCCTACACCCAAGGGATGCCTCAAGGGGGTGGCTAATGGGCCAGGTGCCCCAAACACCCCTGGGTGCCACTGTCACTGAGCACCAGCAACTCGAGGTTTTACCCCAGCACGCCCCCTTCTCCTTCCCCTCTCTACCCAATGACCCTGGCAAGACCCCACCATGGCCTGAACTCCTCAGTCTTGTCTTGAGGGTCCCATCTCCTCCCTGCCAAGCCTCCAAGGAGGGGACAGGGTCCAGTACCCTTGTCCCACAGCCCCCTTCTCCTCAGTTTGCCTGGTGATCTGCAGCATCCCCATGGAAAGCACTTGTTCCTCAATAATCACATGGGGAAACTGAAGCACAAAGCTATGACAGCTATGTGCAGGTTGCTCTGGGCAGACCTTGTCTGGGCTGCCTCTCCCCCTGCCTCACCTTCCCTGGCTGGGGTTTGTCCCCCCTCCCAGGGCATCACCCCCTCCCATACCTGGACCTCCATCCCCCAGCACAGTTCTGTGCCCCAGCTGCAGGGAGACAGTGGTTGTGGTGACTGGTGGTCCCTGCACAACAACAGGGGTCCTGGGCAGGGGGGAAGACAGCAATGCTGGCTGTGGGCACCTCAGGGGTCCCTGCTCCTCCCTGGGGCCAGGAGGCAGGGGTCTCATTGCCCCACTGAGTATGTACAACCTACAAATAAATACCACCTCCCGTGGGAGGGGGGAGTGTATGTGTCTGTGCGTGTGTGTGTGCGTGGATGTGTATATATATATATATATATTTATTTATTTATAGATATTTTTAATATTAAAAGGGGGGAAAAATAGACCACTGTGCTAGCAAAGTCCCTGATGATGGTTTCATGTATGCCCATAGGCCTCTGGCTGGTGATTCCGGCGGTTTCGAGGCTTCTTCTGGTCCTGCTGCTCCTTGGCTTTGAGGCCAGCCAGTGGCTGCGGGGGGCTGGCAGCCGTGTGCCGCCAGTAGCCCTGGCAGTACTGGTCCAGGAGTCCCATTTCGGGCTGGGTGAGGAGCTGCAGCAGATCCTGGTAGCGGGGAGTGGGGGCACCCGGCAGGCCAGGAGGGGTCTCCGCCTGGACCAGCACGGCGTGGACGCCGCGGCTGCTGAGGACGCGGAGCTGCACCTTGGTCACCGTGTGCTTGAAGTTGTTCTCGGTGGCGGTGCAGGAGTAGAGGCCGCTGTCGCCGAGCTGGAGGGCGCGCAGCAGCAAGCCCTGCTCCGTCCGCAGCACCCGGCCCTCCACCCGCAGCTGGGGGACAGGGGGCACGGCTCAGCTGGCTGGCACATGGCACCCCCCGCACCCCCAGCACCCCCGGAGCAGCGCCCTGCCCTACCTCTTTCCGCCGGTCACTGTTGTCCTTCTGCAGCAGCCACTTGACGCTGGCCTGGGGCGAGCGGGGCTGGCACTCCAGGAAGGCAGTGCTGCCCTCCACCCCGTACTGCACGGCCTCCACTGCGTTCTTGTTGGCTGCAGGGGGCAGCCAGGTCATGCGTCTCCACACATCACTCCACACCAGTCTACACTCCTGCCCTGCCCGCTGACCCTCCAAGGGAGAGCTCCCATCCACCTCCAGCCACACACCTGCTGGGTGTCCGTCCATCCATCCATCCATCCATCCCCCTCATGTTCATCTTCCTCTGAAGTATCCACATACACCCATGCATTCATTTATGCACCCATCATTTGCAGTCATCCTTCTCTCCATTGTATCCATTCATCCATCCATCCACCCATTCAAATCTGTTCAGTCTCCTCCCCAACATACCCTCTATCCATCCATGTTCCACCCCCAATGTATTAATTTATCCATCCATGTTCATTCTACTCCCTAATGTATCCCATCCATCCATTCATCCACCAACACCATCTGTGTTCATCCTCATCCCAATGTATCCCATGTTTGTCTTCCTCCCCAATATATCTATCCACTCATCCACCCACCCACCCAACCATCCATGTATCTTCCCATATATCCACCCACAAAATCATCAACCCACCCCTGTGTCTCCCGCCTCCTGCCCTCAGCTTCCCCTCCCAGCTGCCCCTCATGCTGTGGGGCCGTGCCCCACACCTCACTCACCGTTGGAGTTGTAGCCACGGCACTGCCGGATGGGGTTGCCGTGCCTGACGTCCTGCCGCCGGCTCCGCCTGTGGGGAGGCAGGAGGTGAGAGGGGGAGCCTGTGGCTGAGGTGTCCCTCCCTGCTGCTGTCCCCCGGCCCCCCGTACCTCTTGGAGGAGGAGGAGTAGCGGGTGCAGGCGCTGCCGTCCCAGGCGCAGTAGGGGTCCCGCGCCAGGCAGCAATCAGCACAGGCCTCCCCGTACACGTCACAGCGGTGCAGAGCCAGGTGGGTCACGCCTACGGCCGAGGACACATACAGCTGTTGCTGTTGGGGACAGAGAGCACAGGGTGAGATGCTACCTCATCCCCACCCTGCAAGGACCCCTGTGAGTCTCCTGCTCCAGCACAGTGGTGATGCTGGGCAGTGCCGTGGCTGGGCCTGTGATGGGATCTGCCCACCCAGCCCCCTGCCATGGGCTGTAACTCACCCTCTTGGAGGAGATGGTCATCGTCTTGATGGGTGCTGGCACCTGGACAGGGCAGGAGTG